ATCATCTCCTCTCTCACTAGTTCCTTTCTTGTGCAGCCATGGCTGCAAAAGCATCAATTCCCTCAACATAAGCAATTCGTGTTCTTCAGTCCATTTCATTGATTGACTGAAAGTGCAGTGCAACAAAAATTACCTCATGAGGAAGAACTATCAGTATATCAGCAAAATTTGCTAACAATAAAATTATCATTGTATCTGAGATTTATTAGCACTTGGTCCTAATCATGATCAAAATTTTTAAAACAAATAACATAACTTGCTTTGGGTGGTATTAACTAGATTATCATAATATTAGACAATACCTTTGTTTTCTTTAGTCCTCCAATAAATTAGCTGAAGTTGTTGACAGATAAAGAAATGATCATGAGAATACATGATGATTATCCTTTGCCTTCCGAATGAGGGAAACATACAATTAAGGTTGGAAGGACGCTTTCAAATAAATACAGTCATGAATTACTAAAAAATGTGTAGCATTTGGAGCAAAATACTGGACAATCAATAAAGTTTGGATTTTGTAAAATAATTCTTATTTAATTAGGAAACAGTGGACATTATGTGAACGTCTCTGTTTTGTATTTGTTTTTGATTCAGTTATAAATATAGCAATATTTGCGGTAGTCGGAATTCGTCGATATAACTGTTCAACCCAGCCAGTGAGTTCCTTGTAAAATAAGGTTAATCTACGATTATAAATGAAAATTAGCTCAATGAAAGTATTTATACACTTTGCATCGGTCGAATCTAGTACCGCTGCCGATAAAATCTCTCTACTATTTCCTAGTAAACCCAAAATAAAATTAAGCTTAATTGTTCTCTTTTTTTGATGGAGAAAAAAGTTGGAAAGTAAGTGATAAGAAAGCTCAGTGATGGTGAGTGAAGTACAATCACAAACAAATACAAAGCAAAATAAGTCAAATCTCTCTCCATTCAGTTTGTGGTCGTATACAAAAGACTCCACGCTCTGTTCGTTTCGGACATTTCATACAAACTAGTATTCTTTAAATTTAGTCGCAAAGTCTCGTTTTTGCCTTGATTCCTTTGCCATAGTTGGGTTTTAATTTCCACGTTTTCGCACAACGTCAAACAAGGCTTCTAGACGTCCGCGCGTGAAGGGACACCGCCGTCTCAGAAATCTACTCATGCGCAGTACGTAACCGGAAGTAAAAAAGTCCCACGTCGCCGTCGCCGTTGTCGGATCGTAAGGTCCCTATTGCCGCGCGATCACGTCCAGTCATATCATAGTGCGATTCCCGACGTTTTTTGTTTTCAAATAATAGAATTCGGTGTAATATTGTGTCAAAAACCAGATTAAACAATAATACATAAAAAATGACAATGCTAAGGAGAAAGCAAAGGGAAGAAAAAGTCTACAGCATGGGGTATACTCAGGTCGTCACCCATCCAAGTACTAACCCCGCACGACAAGGGTTAACTTTAGTAATCGGACCAGAACCGGTACTTTCCCTGTATTACTTTAATGCAAGCCTTTTATCCTCATGTATCTTGATTTTTTTTTTCTTTGAAGACATTTCCGATATTTGGTCTTCGCTCAATACAAAGGGACTGGTCGTTTATTACCTGTGAGGGTGGGCCGACCATTTTGCTGGGGGGTTCATTTTCAAAATCGGGTTTGTTTTTGGTGGGTCACTTTCAGAAAAGGAAGCGTTTCCTTGGGGGTCTTTTAATAACTCTTATGAAAGGGGTAAAAAGAAATATTAAATATTTTCTTTTAAGAGTAGGATGTAGGTAATGTTACTTTTTCGGAAAGTTGAGACTACAGCGATCGAGAGCAGATGTATTTCCAGTTGTTACTTACCTCAAGTATGTTCTTGTACATGAGTAGCCACACTGTCACGGACAAATTGCATATGTAGATCTGTAAGCTTTTTGGGATAGATATGAGCCTGATATATGTAAATATATACGCTGAATTGATGACTCATTCAGACTTTTCTTGCTAGTAGTAGTTGCACAGTGCTTCCAACTCTTTCACGTTGCGCGATCGTAAAACTCCATTCTTTTTAGATAGCAGAGCGCGCTTTTTAGCTGTTTTTCTATGTTCCATTCTTGGGCTGCAACCACGTGACAAAGCGGCCATGTTGGTGGTCAATACAACACAAAAGTTTTTCACAAAATTCATTGTGTCAAAATAGAGTTTAGTTCCCAGAAGGGAAAAAGTCTATTGTCCTTGACCACCAACATGGCCGCCGTGACGTCAGTTGCAATCCAATAATTGTCTTTTCCTTAACCGTATTTGGACCTTGGACACCTTCGACTTGGCAAATAGCATCGATGTGGTTGAGTAACACACCACTTCTAACGTAAACTGGAACACTCAAGCAGGCCCATAATTGCTTGGCATTTTGGAGCCGACAGTGAGCTGTCTGCTCAGATCAAAACAAATACTACTCGTGAAGTAACAGTAACAGTAAATGCATAGTAGTACTAAGTTTAGCGTGTCCATCAACCATCAGTAGTCACTTCCGACCGTACTAACAAAACATTCTTAGTAGCAGTGAACTGAATGTAACAGCCGTAGAAATAGTAAACACTGATCTTTAACACTTCTGTAAGTAAAGTACGTGGTGAACTTCGGCACAATTTGTAGCTAGAATATTCAGATGGGGAGGCCGGGGGGTGGGGGGGCACTTTCAAAATATGCAAAATTAATGGGGGGTCATTTTCAAGTGGGGGGTCGGTTTGAAAATCTTCTAAGCTTTTTCAAAATGGCTGGCCCCCCTTCACAGGTAATAGACGACCAGCCCCGACACAAATTCTATTTTTTTTTATGAACACACGTTTTAACGATAATAAAACATTGGAGAATTCCGACGTTCTTAGTTCGCGAATTGCGCAACATTCTCACGAAAATAATTACATAGACTGCAAAACAGCCCGTATTTTTGCATTGGCTGCGAATGAGATTGCGTGCACTCTTCGAGCGAAAGATCTGGAGCGAGGTGCAAACGTGGAGTGGGTCCTCACGCACCCTGTGTAAGACTCGCGCTTTAGCTTCGCGGTGATTTCACACAATACGCTCTTCTCACGTATGGTAATATGCCCGTCCAACCTCGTTTTCGAGTGAAATTTCTTTTGAAATTCAAATACGAAAACGTCGTCCGATTAGCATTTCAAAAGAAGTTTTACTCGAAAACGAGGATGGACGGCCATATTACCATACGTGAGAAGAGCGTATTCGAGTAATTTTTCAAGCAAAAACCGACTGTTTTGCAGTATAATGTTCACAAAACACTAATAGCTAATGGAATAGGTAGACCAAGTTCACGCAGATATGCGTCTTGCTAGCAAAAAAAATAAGAAAGCAGATTTTGTATTATGTGGAGTTTTCATATAATGCTTGGTGCAGATAATGCGAGTGGCGGCTCTAAGCCAGATCGTTGTGTTTCTACACTATTTTTTAGTAAACACATCAAAGCAGCAGTTTGTATTAAGTGGAGTTTTGATAGAATTACAGTATGTTGTGAGATTTAATGCTTGGTGCAGATTGCGAGTGGTGGCTCTAGGCCAGATCTTTGAGTTTCTGCCCCGTTTTTAGCAACTACTGTAAATTAAAGCAGCAGATTTTACAATATTAAGTAGGGCTTTCACAAAAGTCTGTGAGATTGTAATGCTTGGTGCAGATTGTGAGTGGTGGCTCTAAGCCAGATATTGAATAAATAAATAAATAAATAATTAAGTTAAAAAAGAAATAAAAACCTAAGAAATAAGAGCCTAAATTATGTACATTTACAGCGATTATTAAAAATCGTACGTCCATGATAATAAAAGGATCTCCTGGCTGTTTCCGTTCTTATTGCAGGCAGATGTAATAAATTGCTCTGTCGGCTTGAGCGTGTACAGATGTACCGACTTATTAAAAACAAAATAGTTATTAAAATACTCCAACAGACACTGGTTCAGCTGCGCTAGACACACCCTGAAATTCTACAAATTGGGTGCGGTTCTGCAGCTAGTTTCTAAACCACTCATGTTCACCATCCAACACTCCAAGACCACGCAGTTTGTTCAGCAGCACTTCATGGTTGACGGTATCGAATGCTTTACGTAAGTCTATAAAAACCGCACCAGTCAGCCGACCTTGATCGATGTTTCTTCCGATTGTATCCGCGAAACACATAGCGGCCCACTCCGTGGAGTGGCACTTCCGGAAGCCGCATTGATACGGGCTAAGAACTTTGTGGCACTGAAGATAGGCGTATAATTGGTGGTGTACAGCTCTTTCTAGCACCTTAGAAACTGCAGGCAAAATAGAGATAGGACGATAGCTGTCCATATCATCAAATTTGCCTTTTTAGACTACACTGCAGGTTCTTATATAGAGGGGTGCTCTTTACAAAGAATTGTATGCTAGGGGGCAGCTGCACTGGCATACACTTTTTCGTAAATTGGCAACTTTGAGGCTCCGTATTTCTGTGAATTTGAAACAGATTCGTATTAAACTTTGCAGGTCTATTAAATTCGGTATGATAAATCGAGCGTTGAAGGTGCTTTTTACTTCAGTGACATATATAAAGAGTTCTATTTGGTTGTGATTTGACAAAATAACTTACATATAAGAAATATCAGTCAGAATGATTGTGCATACAGCCTTTAAATTGTTGTCTATCTATTGTCATTAATGTTTTGGGCAAGTTCATTGGAATATCCGGGCAAAATCATAGGAAACACAATCTCAAATTTAGTTCGTAATATTCAAAGTTTATTGTTAACTATAAAATTGGTAAGAGGCGTCACAATCCTCAGCACAAAATCTTTGGGTGAAGTATAGTGGAAAAGTTTCACTGTGATATCTTAAAACCTTGCAGATTTTTGCCCGTGAGAATACATTAGTAGTAGTTTCCTGAAATCTTACTAGACTGTCTCCTTAGTTTAGCTCAAATCATTTTGGTTTCAAAGAAAAGCATCTGCCAGTGCATAGAGGAAGAAATTAAGCAAAAGCCTGATATGTCATTGTGCTTTTGTTTTGTTGGTTGTAGGTACAATTGGTTCAGTTTGCACAAGCTTGCATTCCTCTCACCCTGTTCACCCGAAGTACGAGATTCAGATTAACTCTCAAATAATGGCAGAGGCAAGACCACCCGATAAGACATCCATTGATGTGAGTGGAAAGCTGTTGAAAGCTGTGATGGCAGACGACTTCGATGAGGTAAAGAACTTGCTGGAGAGAGGAGCAAGCCCCAACTTTGTAACTTCTAATCTAACCGATGGTACGGCCACCCCATTCCATTCTGCCGTACGGCGTAATAAAGTCAACATTGTTCGGTGCATGGTCGAATATGGTGCAGATGTGAATCTCGTAGACGAAGACGGTGACTCGCCTTTATTCTCGGCAGTGTACAAATCTACAGATCCAGAAATCCGTAATTGTTTGTTGGAAAATGGAGCCAGTGCCAACCATGTCAACCATGCAGGGAACACGGCACTCTTGCACATGCTTGAGGGGTATGTTTTGGAGGGCCTGGAGTTTGACCTAGAGGCGGTATTCCTACTTCTTGACATGTGTAGCAATTTGGAGCAGCATTCCTCCAGTGGGCGTTCTCTAATACATTTTGTATCAGCTATCCATCTCTTTGACGAGAGATCTAACTCACCAAACCACAGATGCCTGTATTTTCTAACAAAATTAATAGACAGAGGAGTGTCAGTCGACAAGAAGGACACGACTGGTGCAACCGTTCTTCATGCCCTAGCCTCAGTCGCTTGTATTGAAGGCATGCAGTTTGTTTCAGACAGCACAACTACGGTTGATGCTACGGCCAGGGACATCAAGGGACAGACGGCTCTTCATAAATTGTGTGGCAAGCCATACAGTGTCGACTTTGTCAATTGTCTGAATTGGCTACTCTTACATGGGTGCGATGTTAACGAAGCTGATTGCTATGGCAGAACTGCACTCCACTATGCTACTAGTTCTCAGTTCACGAATGTGAGCACAGTGCAGGCACTTATCAACAAAGGTGCAAATGTAAAGGCCGTGGACAAGGCCGGCTTAAACCCATTACACATGTGTGTTTTGCCAACCGTGCTCGTACCAGTTATGGAGGAAGAGGATGAATACCCAGAAAAAGCTGGTGTTTGCGATGTCATTCAGCTACTTGCTTCTGCTGGTTTGGACGTTAACAGTACAGACAATGCTGACTTCACGCCCCTTCATTTTGCATTGAGAGAGAAAGATGTCGCTGTAATAACAAAGTTACTGGAGATTGGAGCAGATGCAACCTTGAAAACACGCACAGGTGAGACAGCTCTACATCGTTCTACAATAGATTATGAAACATTCGAAGCATTCATGAGATTTGACAAACACGACTATCTTAACGTAAATATCCAGGACAAATTTGACTCAACTCCTCTGCACTGGGCCATTTGGTACCATGAAGTGCTTGTTGTGAGGAAACTCTTGGAATCTGGTGCTTCATTATCCATCAAAGACAACATGGGAAACACTCCTTGTGATATAGCTCGATTACTTGAGGATACCATTATTTGTGAAGAACTAGGCATACTTGACGAGATATCTTATCTCAGGGACGTTGCAGGAGTAAAAGAAGAGGGAATCATGGATTCTCAGGGCGTAACGTATCTTTCGGAAACTGATACAGCTTTGCATTGTGCTGACCTGTTCTCTCCCTATGCCCAGTCTGGCTCCTTGCAAGAATCATGTGAAACAGATGCTACAGAAAGTCATGATACCATTGAAAGATTTACACATTCTAGTGCCAAAATAAAAACGAGAGAACCAACTCAATCTGACACGAATGTCACGCCAGTTACAATGAACAAGAATGACGAAAAGAAAAATCAGGCAGACGGTGGCCTTTCAGCTCGTGACGACGAACACAGCCCTGCAGATGTTTCTTCCCACGTGCCTGTCCATGAGAATCAAGATACAGCTTCAGAAAACTCGCCTTCCTGGGAAACCTGCAGTTCTGATGATTCAGTTGTTTTTGTTGTTCAAAGAGAGTGTAGTGGGAAGAAGGACATGTATCCTTACTGTCCAATTTTGCGCGAAATAGATCATCAAGGAAGAAGTGTCATGTTCATGGAATGGACAGAACACTTAGTAGAGCATAAAGGCCCTCTCAATCATTACGCGAAAAGATTTGTTTTAGACTGCAGAGACATGGGATTGTGTCCTGACAACAATGAAAACACTGACATTGCAGCTGTGATACATGACACTATAACAAATGCTGCTTCTAAGGTGGCCCAGCTGAATCCTCTGCTCAGATGTGATGTAAGTTTATCCGGTAGTTGGGCTGAAGGTACAAAAATTGGATTTCCAAATGAGTTTGACTATAAATGGACTTTGATCAATTTCAATGACAGTTTTATCCCAGAAGAAACAGAAGCACATCCTTTGGGATACACAAGATTGCGACTGCGGAAGAGTGAAGCTTTTGATCACAATTTGACGCGCTACTTGGACACTGATGGTTTCCTGGATAGTAGGAATTTGATTCGTGACCTCTATACAGCGATCAACGATGCTATTTTTAGTGGAGGTACTATTGCCTCAGAAAGCCTTTACCTCAGAAAACATCTGAAAATTGACAAGGGTTCCATCAGCAAGTTGGCCTTCCGCTGGGTTGGAACACTGTTTAAAGACTTGCTAATCGAAGTAGACATTGTACCTACCATCAAACCATCTTTGTGGACGCCTAAATGTATTGAAGTGAATCATTCTGGCCTCATAACGTCCCCAAAAGAAAGGAAAACTAGCATAGTTCTCAAAACACCAAATCCACGCTTGGTAAAGAACTGGAATGGACATTTTCGCATATCGGTGTCTGAATATGAAGCCCAGATTTTGCAAAATATACCCCTTCCTGTTCTGCGTGGATACATCTTGCTAAAGTCGCTAAAGGACACCTTGTACATGCCACAAATATACGACCACGATCAGAGAGATGGCCTGATGGAGGCAACTATATCTTCATACATGTTGAAGACGTGTTTTCTGCACGAGCTCAAGGCGGCCAAGGATGCTTGTGACCCTACGCTGGAGCTGGCTAGAGACAGCAAGTCAGATGAAGTCAGCATAACATGGGCGAAGAGGATCATCGAGCGTATGGAATTATCCATCGAAAGAAGTGAGTTGAAGAGCTTCTTTGTGTCTGGAGTGAACTTACTTGTCAACCATAGCATGACAGTTGTCAATGATCAATACATACTGGAAGCTGAATGTCAGTGTCTGCGTCATCTGCTAAATGTAGCTACACTGCATCAGTTCAATGACTAAACCCAGTTGTGCTTCATTTTGAAGTTTGATTGAGTTAATAGTCCACCTGTTCAATTATCCGGCTCATTACGGTTACATTTCCTTTCATACATGTATTTTTTTATAGTGTGAACATGATTCACCCCTCTACTGCTCAGGCAGTTATTGAGAAGTACTCTGGAAGGACAATCAAATCATCAACGGCCACAACAATCTTCTATCTATTTTAGGTTACAAATAGTATTTTATACAAATAATGATATTATACATATCATTTGTTGCCCCGCAAATAGCTACACAGCTTAAATAGGCGGGGCAAGATAAAAGCGCTGACACATTACATAAAAGAAATTTGATAAACTTGCATTGCCATAGCTCCTAAAAAAATACTGAAAAACACGAAAAGAGAGGCTGCAGTTACATAGTATACTAATTACAGTAATTGACAAGTACGAGTTCATGTGCGTTTTGTTAAATTATAGGTAATTAAAAATCAAACAGCCGCCCACTTTTTCCAGGTTTTAGGGCTCTCTCTCTATTCCGCAGGCTTATATACTCTTATGGCCTTGAATGAACCTTCTCGAAAGGCGCTCTTCCGGAGAGCTCAGATGTGTGTGACGTGTCACGGTTCTTCAAAGTGTTGTACAAACCATATTAGAGACCTTACGACCCGACAACGGCGACGGGAACGGCAACTTGAGAAGTCTGGGTCGAGCCGGGCTGTGTCGTGTTGGCGTTCCCGCGAACATTGAGATTACGAACTTTACGAGCGAGAACGTTGACGACGGCCATTGATGTTTATCGTGTTTAAGTCAAAGAAAGTCTTTTTAAAACCATGCCAAAGTTCCGTGACACCATTCTCCTGGCTCATGCTTCTCGCTTGTTGCGAACCTGTTTGGGCCCGTCGAGGGAAAGAGACATGATAGTGGGATGTTAACTAGATCTGGAGTGTTCAACCAATTGCAAAGATTTTCAGTAGACACAAATGGGAACCCCCTATGTATTTATGGAGATCCAGCATATCCCCTTCGCCTACATCTGCAAGGGCCTTTTCGAGGAGGTGGACTAACTCCCATACAGTCTGCATGGAGTGAATCTATGAGTGAAGTCAGAGTTTCTGTTGAATGGATTTTTGCTGACATAATTGATTATTTTAAATTTCTGGACTTCCAAAAAATCGTGAAAATAAGTTTAAATGCTGTTGGCAAAATGTATGTGACATGTGCCCTTCTTCACAATGCTCGTGTTTGTTGTTACGGGTCCACCACATCAGGCTACTTTGATGTTTCTCCCCCAGAAATTGGGGATCATTTTCACCAAGTCTGCCAAACAGGTTTTACAAAAGCTAAATAACACTTTTCCCTTAGAAAAATGAACTGCTTTTGAATAAAAAAAATTATACAGTTGAGAAAGGCTAACATATTGGAATTAAAGTGAAATAAATGCCACCAAAACAAACCATTTAATGGGAACAAAGGGTGAGCATGTCTACAGAGAGTAATGCAATTCGATATTTGAATAAGCCCTATTGCCTTGATAAAGGCTCAACCCCAGTTCCTCCAGCCCTAACCACCTCAAAATCTACAGGCGTTTGGTACTGGCATAACATCAATTTGGTGACTTTCAAAGGTTAGCGATATTAAGCAACATTACCTTTACAGTGATATATGTAAACCAATAATTATGTTTATAAATCTTTCACTTTAACATCCTTAAGAGCGGATGTCTGTAAATATCGACCAAAAGTGGGAAATATAAAATTTTTCAAAAATCTCAAAAAAATTCTGTAGACTACTCTAGGTATTCTAGTAATGAAAATATAACTTTTAGTTCCATTGGACAAATATTTTGGCGATACGGCGATGTCAAATTCGCGCGATTTACGGCCTCCGCCAGACTGCTTTTTCGGGCCTCTAGACCGGGCTACGAAAAGACCACGATTTCAATCGAATTCAAATATCATTCAACCCAAAAAGCTTCTTATCGTATTAAATGGATTTTAATACACATATTTCGTGGTCATGTTCTTGAATTAATTGCAACTGGAATATTTTATTGATTTTTAAATATTTACAAAATTTTAAGGATTTTACGCGAGCAAAAAATTGTCAAATTTCAAAAGCCCAAAATCACACCCGGTACATGATTTCAAACATAAAAAGACATTCCACATTAAAAACCAATCTCTAAGCTTTCAAAACATAGTTTGAAAACTCTGGGCAACACATGAAATGAATTTTTGGGAACGAAAAATTCACGGAGCACTTGAGCGTAATTTGACCTTTCTGACGTGACAGTTCAGAGGTTCGGCGCGACACAAATCGATCCTCCAACAAATGTCTCAGCCAAAATACGTTTAATTTAGGCAATATCAAGTCCCACAGTGACATACAGATGCTTCATATACATTAGGTGGAAAGTTTCATGCCATTTTGTCAGCCATAAAGAACTCTTACTCTGGTCTTCAGGTGTAGTATTTGAACTCGCTAATGTAAACAGGAGTCTAAGAAACTGAGAATAGGGAATGGAATTTTTGACATGGGTTGGATGTGAAGATGAATGCAACAAGTAACTGTGAGACTCCGACGCCTATGCAGTGATGACTCCGATTTTTCTAACAAATCAAAAGAAATGTGCCAGTTTTTCGAAAAACGCGGCTATCCTGCTTCTGTAATCCAAGCGGCCCATCACCGAGCTCAACAAATTAATCGATAGTCAGCACTACAAACGTCACAAAAGGAAAAGAAGGACAGAATTCCATTCACCCTAACATTTCACCCTCACAATAACCAGGTAAAATCCATCATTCTTAATAACTTTAAAATATTACAAAATGATCCTGAAACTGGTGTAAGTTTTTCACAACCACCACTGATTTCATTCAAACGCGACAAAAACGTAGGCAACTTTCTAGTCAGAAGAACATTCAAAACAATTGAGAAGCCTGGCACCTTTAAATGCGCGCGCTCGCGATGCAAAACTTGTCCTTTCGTTCTAAACGCTGAGAAAATATCGTGCCCTAAGCGATCTGTTAAGATCACTGATCGTTTCACGTGCACCTCGGCAAATGTTATCTATTGCATAACCTGTACATTATGCAAAAAGCTATACATTGGCGAAACAGGAAGACAGCTAGGCGACCGCGGATTCCGAGAACACCTACCCGACGTTGAGAAAGATGACAAAGACGCATCCAAACCAGTCGCGCGGCATTTTAATCTCCCTGGCCATTCTAAAGAACACATGTCTATTTGCGGACTTTCCCTATACCAGGGCACTACAGACAGTCGTAAAAACCTAGAGCAAAGATTCATTTTCCAAATCGGCACCCTTAATCCTCACGGCATCAACGAACGCTTTTCATTCAATTAATTTTTTCCTGTTTTTCACGTGACCAAGTTCCCACCAATAGCGTAGCTCCTTCCTCTGTATATAAACCTTACACTACCCAAAATTCCTCGATTCGCTCTGACAAGGGGCTAACTCTCGAAACGTCAGCTTTTCAATCTCTGTACGGTGGTCAATTTACATTATCAACTCAGTTGATAAACCAAATTTTCGTGTTTCACTCCACGCTCTGTTCGTTTACATTTCATCCAAAATCTAATAACAAAACTAATTTTCGTTAAATTTAGTCGCAAAGTTTCGTTTTTTACCTTCATTCCTTTGCCACGGTCAGTCCTGGTTAGGTAGAGAAGTCCCACGTTTTCGTACAAAGTCAAACAAGGCTTGTTGACACCCGCGCGTGCAGGGAAACCGCCGTCTCAGAAATCTACTCATGCGCAGTACGCAACCGGAAGTAAAAAAGTCCCACGTCGCCGTCGCCGTTGTCGGATCGTATTGAATGCAGGGTTGACAGCGGGACACTTTCATGAGCCCATATAATTCAATTTCACGCGGCAATTTCAACTTCATGACCTATGGGACGGTAGATCTCGCTGTAGCGGTTACCTATCTTTAACCTGTTTTCCAGCCGGAAGTGTAATTTCAGAGCAAAAAACGGAATGACATCGAGAATGCCCTATAGTTCACTACATCTTGCTGTATAGGAGTAAGGCCTCTCTCTTTTCCAATTTAATTTGTGGGGAATCAATATTTCAAAGGCAATTGACAAGACAAGCCGAATGAACGCAAAAAATCTCCGCTGGTATTGCACAGTGCTACCTTTCTACCACTTACCACTTCCCGTCCGCCATATTGGATTCAACAAGAGTGACTTGATTTTTCAGTCACTCGTATGTATTTCAGGTAATTATGATTATGATATTAATGTATTCAAAGCAAGTGGATATCCTGTGATTATCATAATTCCAGTCTCGACAACTGTAGATTGTTGTGAGCAAGGCTGAATTTGAAATTGCTGTACGTTACGTTGAAATTGCGGTGGTGACATTGAAATTGCTGTGGCGAAGAAGTTGAAATTGTAGTGAGTGAAATTAAAATAATTGCCACGGTGAACTTTAAATTGTCGTGAGTGAGGTTGAAATTTCTGTCACACTGCAATTTCAAAATTAAAGTTTTGTTGTTGTATTGCAAACTGTATTCGCCGTAGGTTTCTGATTAGCCAGTTTCTTGCAACTAAAGCTTTGGGCAAGAATACCCTTGCAGATAGGAGATAGTCCGTCGGCAGTTTTCCTCTATTTGCGTGCCAATTTTCACGAAATTGTGAAAGGTTTGAACCCAGGAGTCATTTCAAAAGTAGGTTGAGTTTGATCGTCCGGGTGAACGTAGTCCTGAATAGGACTGTTGTTGTTGACAGTGACTGTCAACAACACTGTCACAGTCACTGTCAACAACAACAGTCCTATTCAGGACTACGTTAACCCGGACGATCAAACTCAACCTACTTTTTCACGAAAGTGTTGGCGTTGCGATTTAAGGTTAAATTTGACAAGCTATTTGTGCAGCGAGTTCTACGGTCATGATTGACTTCAAACTTGCAGCCATAAAACCAGTAGGAGAGCTCTGAGGCTTATTTGCTAAAGTTAGAGAAAAATATGTCTTAGGGTTTCGAAGTTATCGACATTATTTGTAAAAATGCGGTTTTAAACATACGCTGATATCTCAAACGTTTTACACCTACAAGGAAATAAATAACAGTTTCTT